TCTACGGACGGAATTGATAATTATTAATTGATAATTATGGTTCGATGGAGAAAAATCTGCAAGCATTTTCACCCTGATGTAAATCACGATAGCGAAGAAAATTTAGAAAAGTGACGAGACAATTAACGAAAGGACACGCGACGTTTTGCCGTGAAGATGTTACTAACGATTAAAAAAAAAAATACGAACGCTGAAAGAGAAAGTCGCAATGTTCGATGACTTCGTGAGCCATTGCAAATAATGGAACGATTTAGAGTTCTAACTCCGTGACAGGCCTGAACGCTTATCGTTGAAAAAAATTAACTGGTTCCAAAAAAATAAAAAAAAAGGGGGAGACTTTTCACAATTTCGTGATTTAATTAAGCACGATTTTTCTACGAGATAATTGAAAGGATTATATTAATGACTGAGTAGAAATTAAAGATGCTATCTGGAATATTCTCTCGATCTCTTGGGGAAAGACAAATAGGGGAAAGGTGTCGTTTTGTTTATTCAGTACCTTTCAATTAGCTTCGATATCGATAAAATGATAAATATATATACATATATATATAGAGAGAGAGAAAGAAAGAAATACGAGAGATGTGAAGAGAATTGAATGAATTTTTATGCTAAAATATCGGCAGAAAACGAAGAACGATTTAAAAGATACACGTGATAGATTTGCAATGCATAGTGTCACGCGTGATTTAAACTGCACGTGGCAAGAATGTGTGCTGCACGTGTGAAACCTTTGAAAGTGTGAATAACTAAAATCTATCCTAAGCGAATCGTTGAGAATTCAATGATCGATCGCGTTCAAAGTCACTCAGGAAAATTGAATAATTATCGTCTTGTCTCTGACTACAACAATCGTATAAAATCTCACGTATGAAACAAAGAGATCTCGTTTTTCGATCTATCGTCGTGAATTTCCCAAAATTTCTGCCATTTCCCGCGAATCTCGAGTAATCTTCGATCGTACACGAAGTACACGTCAATGTATTTTCGTTCGATGAACGAGCCCGAACAGGTTCGAACGTCGTATCGTACAAAAATTCAGCGTACCGTTCACGGAGTAATTGGCAGCGCGGACGAAGTGAAAGAAACCTCGATACACTTGGTTCGATCGGTCTCGAAGCCTCGTCGCAGAGGCACGACGGCGATTACGACGGCCCAGGAAACAATTAGGGCCGATGATACACGTCCGACTACTATATCGCGTGCACACGGCCGATCGGAGCCCCCTTAAAACGGGGCGTCGGGGCGGCGTGTTAATTCAAACGAGCAGACGCGTTCGACGATTCGCCTCTTCCTGATTGCCATCGAACCTTTCGAAATGCGAGACGCTCCGTCAAATTCATCCAGCCCCTCTCCATCAACCCCCTTGGGATTTCGACGCACCGATTCGCTAGGCAAGCCTCTGCATTACGCGCTCGTGTGATTTTTTTAAAAATCGCGAGACGTTTAAAATTAAAGAATTCGGCGCTTTTCTTTTTAGGTCGATTAAAGCAACGCATTTCAAAAGAGCATCAAGTACGAAGTTCAGTTCAGTTTCTCAACTGTTTTTGCACGAGTGTTAAATAATATTATCTTGCAGCAGACACAGATATCAGTTTATCCTATTTTGATGTGACTGTAGATACTATGTAAATCATTTTATCAGCGATTATCCTGTTTCCTGAATTAAGTTTTTATTTGCCAATCATAGATTCCACAGAACCGATCAGGGAAAAAAACCTTGCCTTCTAACGAGATTATCGATCGAATCGGTTTTTTTTTTTTCCCGGTGTAATTAGCTCTGTCTCGAGGACATGTACATAACTAACTTTTCTAAATTTCAAGATATCGCATTGCAATTGCGACTGTGCTGTTACTCTCAATTTCTTTCTTTTCCTTTTACTTTCTTGTACTTTCTTTCTGTTTGTATAGATTACACCAAAAGGTCTTTGTCTATTTCTAAATAACAGAATAAATAACAGAGAATAACTGCGAAAATTACTCGTAAGTGATTGTACCTAAATTTCAAGATATTGTATTGCAATTGCGACTGTTCTGTTACTCTCAATTTCTTTCTTTTCCTTTTAATTTCTTGTACTTTCTTTCTGTTTGTATAGATTACACCAAAAGGTCTTTGTCTATTTCTAAATAACAGAATAAATAACAGAAAATAACTGCGAAAATTACTCGTAAGTGATTGTACTTTCTTCAATCATTTTCATTGATAAGAGATTTCTGTTTGAACACATTCGCACTAAAGAAAAACCAAAGCCGCGAAGTTTCCTCACTGAAACAGTCACTGCGTGACTCGCACGTGATCAATCCTCCGATTCTCTATTAATTTGAGAACGAGAGTTGACGAGACGCGCGATGCACGAAAAAAAAAGGGGGGAAAAAGCGCGGCACGTTGTTGATGATTACGTCGAATTCCGATCGAATGACGAAAAAAAAAAGTCACGTCGACAACGGCAACGGCAACGACACGACGACCCAGTTTTCTTGGTTGTGGAACGTCGAAGGCAAGGTTATTAAGGGCAGTTACGGTGGTCGAAAACCCGGCGGCGGGCGAACAGTGACGAAGGGGAGCGAGAGGGATGAAAGTGGGAAACGTGTCCTGCCTACCGTTTCGAGGCTCGTTAATTTTCTTTCTGCCTCGACTCGAGGGTGGGAGGAAACGACGAATGCGCTGATTTCAGGAAATTGTCCGACCCGATCTATAAAGATACCACCCTACTAATCTCCTGCGATATTGAGTTGAGCCCGATGCAAACGAGAAAGAGAAAGAGAGAGAGAGAGAGAGAGAGAGAGAGAGAGAGAGAGAGAGTTTCCAGCGTTTTCGCGCGTGTTTCAACGGTATATTGAATTATACAGGGAAATACGCAGGGACAAACACGCGACAGATACAAATCGAGCATCGCGGAATCGCGCGTTTGTACAAACCGTCCATGCGGCACTGAATGAATTTCATTTGGAACGAGCCAACGTCAGTTTTATAATTTCCCGTGAATTCCTCAGTTCGATCGTTTATTTCATTCATTTCTTTCCCTCCCCCGCGGTTTGAAGCTAGATTTAAACAGACGGAGAATTTAGAGGTTTCAATTTTGCAACCACTGGCTGTTTTGCAAAAATTACTCGCGCATTCCGAGATTCCGCGGCCGATTTTATAGCAACGTGGTAACTTGTATCTCTCGCTGGAAACAGCTCGTTTGTTGTCGTTAGACAAGATATCAAATAAACCGAGGCGGGAGTTACATTTTTACGAAAAGAAAGAAAACATTTTTACGCAGACTGCAAGCCCGGCGACACGAGCGATATTTCGATGCACGTGCACTGCCCGTTGTTGAATAACATTACGTAGCGAGCATCTTAACGACGCCGCGGAAACGTCCGTATCGCGTGTAGCTGTCGTCGATTGTGCACGCTCTCGCCGGATTGTACTTTACGTTTCACGGCGTAATTTTCCGAGAAACGTCTATTTAATCTCAGCCACATTGTCACAGTTTCCTTCCTGCTTGCGCGAGGATGACGATCGTGCAAGGAAATCTAAGAGGGTCAAAGGTTGAAGTCTCAGTTACGAGACGACGCGACGCGACACGACAAGCTACAAAGTACGCCTCTGCGTTTCGGTACGCGCGCAATTGGCACGCCAACTACGAAGCGAGCACGACGATATACACATACACGATACTGATTAACCATTCGCAAGATTATGCGCGGCCGCGTATGCTGCAAATATTACGTACCCGGCGATTTCATCTCGGAATGTGGTAAGAGATGTCGGCTCTCTATCTTTCGTTCTCGGTCTCCGTCACGTGTGCTGACAATGTTTACGACAATGTATCGTAAGTAGCTGATCGTGCGTGCTGTTCAAAACACACACACACACACACAACACACACACGGTGTTTGTTGAAGAAAGAAAAGGAAAGACAGCCGGGCACGATAATGTCTAGGCTAGGCGATCGTCGTTGAACACGAACGCTCAGCGTGTACCGTAAACGTACACGCTTATGGAAATTCCCGGTCGAAAGCCGCACCACGGCCTGGATCGTGAAAGACACGCGAGACCGCGGAACGGAAGTTTCCAGGCGGGGCGATACAGCTTCCTGTCGGCACGTGGGAAACTTTCGAACATCTTCGTCGTCCAGCGTGGCGTTCACGAGTTTCACGTCGCAACACACCGTCGCGTTAACGTTTATCGCTCGTAGAGGATGTGTAGGACCCTACTGCCAGGACCAACAAACGTAATGCAAGGGACGTATTCTCCGGTACGCGGGAAAATCTTACCTTCCCAAAAATCTTACCTTCCCAATTTCCGTGATCGAGAAAGTACGACTTTAATAATCACAACACCTAGCAATCTACCAGAAATTTAGTTGATCTGACCGTGATTTGCCGTGAGGTCGCGCCGAGAAGCAACGAGATGATGCAAATGTACTGGAATGGAAGCGGAATTGGTACCGGGAGCCGATATCGAAGGAAGAATTTAATTGAAACGCCACGGCGATAAGGCGGTAGCACGCGCTCGCGCTCACATAATTAATCTAGCCTTTGACGGATTACTTCACGTTAAACCGGTTCCCGGAGTGCGCGTCTCTGGTGGTATCGAACGCGCCATCTACGCCGCGCGATTTAGCCGCCTCATCGAGTGGATTCGTTCCCCGGGTCTCTCTCGTTAAATACGTCCGTCCTCTGCCAAGTGGAACGAGGCTCGCGAAAAATCCGCGTTCCATCCATCAACGTTCCACCGGCTCGGCTCGGCTCGGCTCGGTTCGGCTCGGCACGGCACGGCGCGCGGCCATTCGTGCATGAGCGCCCATTCGTGCATCCATCGTGGATAATTAGTTGGTGGGAATCGATAGATTCCACGGAGAATAATAAAGCGCAACGCGTACGGCGGCACCCGCCGCCCGTTGTTCGACGATTCTCGCTGGCGATCACGAGCGAACGATCGATCGCGAGCCTCGTTCCCTCGTTCGAGGATGAACGTTATCGGGTAATCAATGGGATTATGTACTTACGTGGATGGTAGTCTGCTGGCGTTGTGCCTCTCGCGCTCTGTAACTGAAAAAAGAAAAGGATGGTAATTAGATTGTATTAATTAGCGTCTGGATCATCGCGGCGACCAAAGACGATCGCGACGATCAAGACGCGTGAGGAATTGAGACAGAATTTTTTATTTGACGATGGAAAAAAAAAAAAAAAAACACGCAACACGAAGGAAGTTGAAAACTGGCTCGTGGAATCCTGTTATACCTCGTTTGCCAGCGACGCGTCGTCAATTAATTAGCGGTTGCGCAAACGGCACGCATAATCGCGTGAAATTTTTCACGTACGAGTCTCGCCTCGAGACGAGTTCCTACACGAGACGATCGTTCACGACGAGGCCTCGGCAATCTTCGCGTTTACCCGGGAGGAAATGATTTTCACAGGACGATCGTTCTCGAGGACGTTTGGGTTCGGGGCAGACCGGAACGGGGTTCCTTTCATCCGGCTGGCAGCCAAGCTGGAGATCAATTGTTGAGCTGTGAAAGCAACGCCGTGCGGTGAACGCGCGCGAGGGTACGTGAAATCTTTCGAGCGATCCCCGAGCGAGAATCAATTCGTTCGACGTCGCGCCAGCCAACCTTCTCTCTCTTCTCTTAGATACGCAACGGAGGAGAAAGAAAAGAAGAAAGGAGCTAGTGACGAGCGGAAAGAGGAATAGAGAGGTAAACCTGGTCGAGGAGGCATTGCGTAAACAATGGAAAGCGACATGCACGCACGCACGTACGCACTCACGCACTCACGCACGCACGCATGAAGGCAGGCAAGCGTCGCATGGGAAAGGGGCTGGTAGCAGAGGACAGGCTGCTGGGACTGGGTCAAAGAGAGAGAGGGTGCTACCAGGAAAAGGGGGAAGCTCGACCCCGACAGAGAGGGTTGCCCGTCTTAACATGAGAATTGCCACCAAATTTGATCGCAACGCGACCGCTCTTTGGTCAAATAAAATGTTATTCCTCACAATCAGTCAAGAACGCGACTCTGAAAAGTTCTACCGGCTCGAAAGAAATTCCTCCCGATATCATCGATTGTTCCAATATTCATTAAATTCTCTCTCCTCGGAAAATCTCCAAATCTGCCAAATCTCCAAGAAATACACCTTTATAACAGACTGCTGACCGCTCCTGTTTAGTGTCCAAGTGTAGTGCTCGACACCTCGAGCGCTAAAAGTCCGCCAATAATTCCGTAATAAATCGTGGAAACTCTGGGCGAAACGATCTGATTAACGAGTTAACGAGAAAAGATAAATATCCGCCGCGGATAATAAAATTCCTCGATCCCACTGACTTTCGATACAGACGCGCGTACACACGCTGCGTTAATGAATTCCATATGTAACGCGATTAATGTACGATTACCGAGTTAGACGCGTCGCGGTGTCCAATTAGAGGTATGATTTATCGAGCGATCACTGGCCCTACGACACACGCCGATCGTCATAACTCTCTCCCGCTTTCGAACAAAAGCTAGGAAATTCCCTGGCAATGTTCCACCGGCTAATTATCACTGTTCGCCGTGGTCGCGAACTCTCTACCTCTCCCCCCCCCCCCCCTCCGCCCTCCTTCTCCACCCGCGAACTATTCGAACGGATCGCCGCGATTAATCAATGACACGCGCACATCGTGCTCGATACACCGGGGCTCGCCAATAATTAGCGTCGAGGTATCCGCGAGGATGTGTCGCACAATATATCCATGCGAGAGCGTCACCTGCGTGTCGAAAAGTCGTTCTTCTATTTGTCAATCTTCAGCCGTTGAATGATACACACAGATTTTTCAATCCAACGTTCGTCGAAAGACAGGGTAAAAAGTCTATCGCTTACTTTCTCAGAGGGTCGCTTTAATTTATCAGACGCACGGATCACTCTTCACCGTTCGCCAGAGGCTGAACAGAAGACGCAGAATGCCAGCGACTGACGTCACGTGCAGAATGCAGGCGTCGTGTCACGTGAATCGTATGGCTGCGCGTACATTCTTCTCGGCCGCAGCACCGGACAGCCAACGAGTGAACGCGAGTTCAACGAGACGCGGTTCGCCGCGATGCGCACCTGATAACAGAAGATAACTGACAACGTCCTGAAGTAGCTGGAATCCGGCGAGCATGACTTATCGTCCAAGTTGCAGTGGATAACGACGTGGTGGCTGCCGCCGGTGGTGGCTGCTCATGTTGCTGTTGGAGTTCGTGCGTTCGTGCACGCGTTCGTACGTTTCTCCACACGGGCCGTTTTTGCACACAGAGCTCGCGCGCGATCAATCTTCCCTTCGGCTGCCCCCTCTCCCCAACTGCTTTTGTCCACCTCGCGCGATCGGAAATGCCGGCAGCGCCGCGTGAAATCGAACCGACCGCGTTCACATTGATTGCCGCGTATGCAAATCGCCTCGCTCTCGACTCCGCCGTTCCACTCCGTCGTCAAGGTTGTCGCCGCGTTTACGGAAGATCGTTCGATCCACGGATCGCTAGTCTGTCTCTCTCTCTCTCTCTCTCAACGTTTCTACTTTTATTAAATCCGGAATGAAATCGATTCACAGCCGCAATTTATTCGTATGACCGTTCGCGTTTTCGAGTTTTACTCGAGCATGACACGGGTCGGCAAAATGCAAAGGGATGTCTCACTATGTATGTATCGCGATTGCGGAAGCGGTTGGTCGACCGCGTACACTCGCAGTGACGCGCATCGGTTAACTGAGGCTCGGCTCGGCTCGGTTCGGCTCGGGGCCCGCCTGGCCCATCGCTACCGCTGCTGCTGCCGCTGTGCTGCTTGCTTTTCCGCCTGCTGGTAGTCGCACACGCGCCACCAACCCAGGCCCTCTTAGCCTAGCAGCTTGCTAAGCAGACGGTCTCTTCACCTGCGTACCGATGCCTTTTGTTCAACTTACTTCTCTCTCTCTTTTTTTTTTCTTTCTTTTCTCCCCTCGTTTCGCGGGGAGGGAAGAGAGCCTCCTTCTTCAACCGCTTTCGTCGTTTTATCTCGTGTCTCCTGCGGGCACCCTCGCCCCTTCTCTCTTTAATCTTTAACACTCGAAGCGTTTCAACTAAACGATAGAGCATCGATCCTCTTCTGTGTGCTTTCCTTCCATTTTTTTTTTT